GCGGCATGTCTGCGGACTTGCAACGCTAGAATCCGGGTTTCGATAACCGTGGTGGGCAGAACACAGATAGCACATTGCGTAGCTTTGTGCTTAACTACAAACACACAAGCCTCTTACGGAAAAAGATTTATGGACCCCAAACTGGGTTCGAATAAAATTTCTAGCTAATTTTCAAACATTACGCAAGGGAAGTGACAATTTCTTGTACTGTTTTATGAACATTATAACAAATCTAAAAATAAATGAACACATTAGCTATGTAACTCTGGCCACGTTAACATCGTCGCATATGTGATAATTGGAATACAATAAACAAACCTATAAATTCCATTGCTGTTCAAACGTTGATTATTGTGTTCAATATTTCCATCTTGGGTTGGGAAATAGTAGGTAATTTCATCTACATTCACTATGCGTGCTGTTTATTGCCTGCATGTCACGTGTCTGAAAGACAAGCTGTTAGGCTGTGAGAAAAAAAAATGTCTTTGTATGCTTGTATCCACCAGCTGCTGTAGACTGACATCTTCTGATTGACCTGAATTGTTCACTTGTATTGTACGGCACGAATCAGGTAAAAAAAGACGTAAAACACGCTACTGTTTGTATTTTGCTCTTTATTTTTAAAGTGTATGTCAAGAAGGAATGTTTTCTGAGTAATCACCATAGTTACAGGTAGATAAACAGTTCTGAGTAATCACCATAGTTACAGGTAGATAAACAGTTCTGAGTAATCACCATAGTTACAGGTAGGTAAACCAGTTCTGAGTAATCTCCATAGGATTTAAGGCACGCGGTAACGTAGACAGTTGTACTGTATAGATTCTAAATTAAAATCTGTTTATCTACCTGTAACCATGGAGATTACTCATAACTGGTTTATCTACCTGTAACCATGGAGATTACGAAGAACTTATTTATCTACCTGTAACTATGGAGATCAGTCAGAACTTGTTTATCTACCTATAACTATGGTGATTACTAGGAACTGGTTTATCTACCTGTAACTATGGTGATTACTCAGAACTTATTTACCTACCTGTAACCATGGTGATTACTAAGAACTGGTTTATCTACCTGTAACTATGGTGACTACTCAGAACTTATTTACCTACCTGTAACCATGGAGATTACTAAGAACTGGTTTACCTAATTCTAAATATGGAGATTAGTCAGAACTGGTTTATCTACCTGTAACTGTGATGATTACTCAGAACTGGTTTACGTACTTATAACTATGAGCATTATCGGAATTGGCTTATCCAAGTATAACCATTGAAATTACTAAGAAATAGTTATTCACCTGTAACAATGGATGATATTCGGAACTGATTATCGACCCGTTAATATAGAGATTACCCAGAACAGGTTATCTATCCATAACTACGAAGATTACTCAGAATAATTTATTTTTCCATTATTAGTTCTTAGTGTGTGATCCCCGAAGATTCATGGTTCGCGATTTTTTCTGTAAAAAATGGAATCCACACTTTAGGGCCGTGAATGCGCTGTAAGAGTGAGAGTCACATCCCACTATTCTCCGAGACAAGGTAGCGCAAGAGTTGGTTACGGGTGCGTTTAATAGTTGCCTTCCCTTATCACTTACAAATTAGGGATGGCTGTGAACGGATATCTTTTATCTAATTTTGTGAAAACAATGCAACTAAACTATATCTCGCGTTTGTTGACACACAAGTTCATTAGTACCAAATATTGTTTGCTCTACATATTAACACTGAATGTTTCGTGTACTGACATATTAGTACCAGTTGTCTTCTTGTTTTGAAACATTCATTGTTGTCAGATGTACGTATTTCTGCGTATTAATACTGACCATCATATGTGTACTTTCACGTTAGTTCCAAGTGTCATCATGTTACGACACATTTTGTGTACCTCGTTTCTTGATGTTCTTACAACTTTTTACATTCCTTTTTTTTTCAGCTTCCGGATTTCTGATTTGATCTTTATATTAATTAATGATGTATCCTGTTTGTTCATCTTTTGAATTTCTAGATTAGCCTTTATAATAATCAATGTATTCTGTATGTTCATCTTTTGAATTTGTAGATCAGTCTTTATAATAAATAATGTATCCTGTTTGTTCACTTTTGAATTGTAGATCAGTATTTATAATAAATAATGTATCCTGTTTGTTCATCTTTTGAATTTGTAGATCAGTATTTATAATAAATAATGTATCCTGTTTGTTCACCTTTTAAATTTGTAGATCAGTCTTTATAATAAATAATGTATCCTGTTTGTTCACCTTTTAAATTTGTAGATCAGTCTTTATAATAATCAATGTATTTTGTATGTTCATCTTTTGAATTTGTAGATCAGTCTTTATAGTAAATAATGTATCCTGTTTGTTCACCTTTTAAATTTGTAGATCAGTTTTTATAGTAAATAATGTATCCTGTTTGTTCACCTTTTAAATTTGTAGATCAGTCTTTATAATAAATAATGCATCCTGTTTGTTCATCTTTTGAATTTGTAGGTCAGTATTTATAATAAATAATGTATTCCGCATGTTCACCTTTTAAATTTGTAGATTGTATAGCGTGTAGATTTCACTTGTTCGTCTTCTTGCTGTTTTTGTTAACAATTTCTCTTTGAAGAAACGAATCAAACTGATTAAGTACACTGAGCTCTTAGTTCTGTTTATACTCGTGCTTCTTAATACACAGTTTCTACTACTCACCTTTGCTGTTTTACATGGGAGCTATTTTATTTCGCTCACCATTAATTTGATCTCAGTAACATTCTGAAATTGATATGTCTACAAATTTGATTTTGACGACGAACTTTTAATGTGTGATTTTCTTCAATTCATATTATAATATATTACAACTAGTCAGTGCCTAAGCCTCTCAATCATTATTAGAATGTGTTATCTTATCTCGGCGATAAATAATTGTATAATGTATTTTAGTTCGAGTAAAGCCATTTAATCCACTCCCTTTAAAAACGAGTTTTCACAAACATGAGTATCGCCCCCCCCCCTTTCAACACCCAAACAACCGTTACGTATAAACTAGTATTATTTTCATGATCAAAAGGTCAGTACTTCTTTTGATATTTTTCATGATTTTTATATTTATATTGATGTCTTATGACAAGTATAATTTTATACTTTGTTTTATGATCTTTCACTTGCTATTATGTATACGGATTAGGCAGAAAATTTTAATTATATTTAGAATAATCCGTTGTTATCTGTAAATACGCTTGCAATATAATGGATTTGAGTCTCTTACAAATTTTGTCTTGTGAGCAATCTTGTTTGTGCTGAAAAATTCTATCCCTTTCTATCTGGTGTCAGGCGTGACCCAGTGGTTAGAATACTCAGACTGTAAATCCAAAAGTTCTTAATTCGCGTCCCGTTTCCGCAAGAACGCCCTCTGCTCCTAGGACTATGGCTGCGCTATAAGAGTGAAGGTCAAATCCCAATATTCGGTCAGACTAGAGTAGACCAAAAGGTGGCGGTGGATGCAGTTGACTAGCTGTCTTCCCTCTAGTCTGTCAGTCCAAGATCAGGAAACTCTTGTGTAACTTTGCACGAAAATTTTAAACAAATAAACCTTTCCTAATTTTAAAGATATTGGGATTCCCCAGTGGCTCAACGGTAATACTGAATGCTTATAACGTACAGCACAGATAGCCCATTGTGTAGCTTTGTGCTAAGACAGAAAGAGTTGGGTGAAAAGAAACAAATTTGTCCAACCTACCCAAAAGGACTGAGGGAAACACTACATGCTTCATTAGGATTGTTGTTAACTAAAGTTATTTTAAAGGTACAGGATGGGATGTGACAGCGCACCTTCCCCTTCGTAAAGTTGGCGGTGTTCCATTTCATTTCACATACCTATCTATATATATATGCAAGTTACTGAGGACTAATAATAATTAATTGAATCAAACTAGAAAATAGTCAGTGTTCCGTCCTATTATCAACTTTTGTTACACGCTTCTAGCGCTTTGTTTTCATACCAATTTCCTACTTGTTGATAAAACCCGTTTGTCCTGCAGATATTGAAAACCTTGGCATAATTACATATCTGTTAAAAGTTTTGAAACTTTTTTTTAAATGAACCAGTTAATGTGTTAAACTGACGTTTGATAAAATGACAAAAAAAGAAAAGAAAACGGATGTTAAATTAGAATTATACTTACGATGATTAGTATTAGTCTTATCTGTTTAGTAGCTGTAAATTCCCTCTGTCGTGTCAGGGTATTCATGGAGACAAGGTTGAAAAGGAAATGACTCAACTTTCACGCGGTTCTTAGTTCTTTTTTTTATGATACTATTAAAAAAAAGACATTACAGTACAAATTGCAACGTTAGGCGTCCTTTATGTGACGCCATTTTAGTGTCTACTGACTTACTGACAGATAACACACTACTATATGGTGGTGCGAGTGTTTAAAACAGGTCCCCTTTTGGGGAAATATGTTTGATATCCAAATCAATTGCTTTATAACTTTCTGATCCTTATTGATTTATTTGTCACTGATTCTTCTAATTTATACAGTTCTTTCGGTAACAATTTTGCCAAAATATGAGGTATTATATTTATAATTTTATCCTGTGGCCTGAAAGGCTAATATCATTGGGTTATAGTTCAGACTAGGTTGATCTAGACTGACAGTATACTAATCTTAAGGAAGATAAAAAAGCTAATTACGAAGTAATTTCAATCAGTATTTCTAGAATCACCGGTGTCTGAAGCCTAACTGTCGTCTCTACACCATATTTAGATCTTAATATATACCAGTCTTTCCTTTTAAAATACTGGAACGTAAATCTAAACAGAGTTTATTTGCCATAAACGTAAGCTATAGTCTCATTCGAGTCTATTTTGCTCTTTTACAAGGATAATTTCATCACGCATGCGCATCACTTTATTTTAACAGCAAGAATGAACATAATTTTGCGTGCGTCAGTACAAGTATAACTGTTTAAATGATTTGTTTTGACGTGTTTTCTTTTTCCATTTTAGATCAAACATATTATCAACAGCCATGTAAGTGCCGAAAATACCCCGAAAGGACCATTTTTCTGGAGTAATTGAATCTCGTTAAGGTCACGAACCATGTATTCTCTTCAACTGTGACAAATATTTAAACCACCATTTTAACCCAAAGACATTCAGAGATACACAACTTGGCCATGAATCCAAATGGCCAATCACCAATGTGTCCAGGAGATCCAGGAGCAACTATGATGGGTATGATGACCCATAATCATCATGGCGGAAATCCAATGATACACATGCAATCTCACCCAACACAACTTCCCACGACAACAAATACCGGTGGAGGGCGCTGTTGTGCCGGATGTGGTGGCAAAATAATGGACAGATTCCTGTTACATGCCATGGACAGGTACTGGCACACAGGATGTTTGAAATGCTCTTGTTGCCAAGCGACCCTTGCTGACATCGGCAGCTCTTGCTACACAAAAGCGGGAATGATCCTCTGTAAAAACGATTATATCCGGTGAGAAAGTATTCATTGTTATTTTAGTTTTACAATAATTTTGGTAGTTACTGCTATCAGTCTTGGGGAAACGATATAGGCTTCTATATAGTAATTGTTCGGGCACTTATTATTTTGGTTTGTTTTAAATTTCACGTAAAGCTAGCTACACGAGGGCTATCTGCGCTAGCTGCCCCTAATTTAGCAGTGAAAGACTAGAGGAAAGGCAAGTAGTCATCACCACCCACCGCCAACTAACTCTTGGGCTACTCTTTTACCAACGAATAGTGGGATTGACCGTCACATTATAACGCCCCCACGGCTGAAAGAGCGAGCGTGTTTGGTGGGACGGGGATTCAAACCCGCGACCCTTAGATTACGAGTCAAGCGCACCAAACACCTGGCCATACCGGATGTTTCTAATTTTTGTACGCGTATTCAAACATACTTTGTGGAAATTCCAATCAAGAAGATAATCTATATAAAAAGTTTGAACCCCTTCAAAGAAATAACCAATAAACTTACAAGTAAAGCTTGACATTTCGATTCTTACTTGAAAGGTGAGGAGTCTCAACACGTTTACGGCCTTAATTACCTTGGTAGTCGATA